AGCTGAGACATTCTCATCAGTGATCAGGACTGGAAGAAAATTGAGAAAAGACACCCTGTCGTTCTATGTACCATCTAAACGAAGGTGGAGCATACGGTGAATGTCCCAGCTCCTGGGAGATTGTGTGGAGGGTGCTTCAGCCAGGGGGAGGCCAGAAGGGAAACTCCCACTTCGGGACCAACCAATCTACTCTCAAGAGGCACTTAACACCTCTGGGCCTCAGGGTGCCTGTCTATAAAATGCAGAGGAAGTTAGCAGGCCTGATTTCTGTACTTACGTGGGAGGCTCACTTTACTTCCCCTGGAATAGCGGAACTGAGGCTCCAGTGGTGGAAGTGTAGGTGTCGGCCTTTGAGTACTGAGGGGAATGTTTGCAGAGGGGAGGGCGAGCCTTCTTGGGATCCCTCCAGGGTGGTCCTCCAGCTCCCAGGGAGAAGTGACCCTCCCTGGGCACCAAGGAGGGCTACCTCACAGAATGCACTGTGAGCTCGACACAGAGCCCGGGTTCGAGGCCCTCCAAGGCCAGGGCTCAAGTCAGAAGACCCTTGGGACCAACTCTAGGCAGCAAGCCCACCATTTGTCCAGTGACCAGTACCCACTGGTTTACCAAGGGAAGAACCAAAGTCATGTCCAAAGATCAAATGGGCAACAAGACGTCAAACGAGAAACCCCTGTGTTGGAGGGGGGCTGGCAACGTTCCCACCATAGCTGTAAACAAACACCTCTTCAGCAATCTAGTTCCAGCTCTCCACACCTCCTCTGTCCTTTTGTTCTGTTCCCTTTGCAATAGGGTATAAGATTCAGGCTGGAATCCCTGCTCGCTGCTCATCTAGACATTTCTTCCTGGGTCTTAACTGAATTAATTATGAATCTTATGCTATTTTCTACTCACTTTATGAAATAAGGGCAAAATGGATCATCAGGTAAAAATTTGCCCAAACTACTGCTTAGCTGAGAAAAAGGCCCACCTGGCCACACCCCCATGCTATAGTTGGAAATGTTTATTCTCTAAGGTAGCTAAGTCCAAATTAAGTGTACAAATGAAAACCAGTGACAGAGCATGATGTGCAACGTTCAAAAGTGGAACATATAAAAACAAGGGGTTTCATTCAAGATAGATGGTGATAAGTTAAGGATGAATATATAGCAAGATGGTAGACCTGCCCCAACATTAAATGCAAATGGACTAAACACTCCAATTAAAAGGCAAAGATTGTCTGACTAGATAGAAAAGCAAGACCCAACTATAAGCTGTCTGCAAGAGATGCACTTGAAATGTAAAGACATACACAGTAGAAAGCAACAGGATGGGAAAAGATAGACCATGCAAACACCAAGCATAAGGAAACCCAGTGTGGCACTATTAACATCAGTCAAAGTGGCTGTCAGGGCAAGGAGCATTACCAGGGACCAAAATGGCTATTTCCCAATGACTAAAGGGCCAATTTGTCAAAAAGACATAACTGGGCAACCTTGGGCAAGTTACTTAGCTTCAATTTGCTCATCTGCAGGAGATGACAATAATAATAGTACCTGCCTAGTTAGGGGTATGGTAAGAATCAAATGATTGAATTCATGTAAAGTTTTTAGAACCATGCGTGGCACATAACAAATTCTCTATGAGTGTTAGCTCCCAAGGTTGTTGTAATTGGGACAAAGCCTCAAGATCTCTCTGTGACCCTGGCCTAGCTTCTTCTGAGGTGGGGCTCTGCAGGCTGCTGAAAGATGAGATGTAAACAGGCCGCTAGCTTGTTCCTCCAGTTTTTTTTCCTGGTGGTGGTGGTATGCTGTGTGTGTGTGCGTGTGTGTGTGTGTGTGTGTGTGTGTAGAGACCTAAGGCAGAGGAATGTAAGGCACGAGTCAACATGCACCCAATGAATCCATTTGCTGCTAGACCCAAGGGATGAAGTCAAGGAGACATGGCAACTGGGGCCAGGAAGAGAACAGTGACCAGGTGAGGTTTGGATGATTACCTGGTTTAACTGGTATTGGATGGGATAGCTCCAGGCTGACCGGGATCATCTTCCAGCCTGAGAAACAGGAAGGCAGCCAGCACCTGGGACCTGCCAAGTTCACATGGCTGGAACCACAACCATCTTTGGGCCTTTCCCCGGGTTGCACACATAGAGAGAATGCTCAGTGACCTTCCCCTCTTGCCCTGTGACCCCCAGACCTCTGCTCCAAGGCTGTGGTGGTGGGGCTAGCTTCATCTCCAGCAGAGCTGAAAGACCTGCTGAGGCCGAGCCAGCTTTGGTATGGAGGCCTGTGCAAGGATGAGATTCTAGCCAGGGCTATAGGAAGGCAGGTTTCTGAGTTACTGTTGACTCTTTCCACATATATCTTTTTCTCCTCTCCTGTCCTTTCCTGACACCACCTCCTTTCTCACCTACAGTGGCTGCCTAACTCCTTGTATTGGAGATTTATTGACACTCACCATGCACCAGACACTGGACACATCACTGCATATCATGGGTGGTGGGTCCTGGCACACCTGGCTTTACAGATGGGAAAGCCAAGGGGCTCTAAGAAATGAAGACAGTTGCCTAGGATCTCATGGCTGATAAATGGCAGGGCCAGGCTTTGAAGATGGTCCCCTGACTGTAACGTCGTTGTTCTTAACTGGTTTTGGTTTACTGATTTTGGTCCAGATTAATCTTCTTCACTACGCTGACTCATCAGAAATCTTCAAGGGCTTCCCATTGCCTAGACCTGCAGCCTCCAAACTTTTTTGACCTTTGCATCCCTTTAAGTAAAAGGTTTTGAACACATTCTCCATTATGTCCATTTTAATTATCTATAAATTATTTGTATGTGCTAATGTGCTCTTGTATTATGTACATTAGGAAACATTCAGATATGGTTTATAGATGCAACAAATACATCAAAAATAGTCTCGAATATTTTCTCCCCACCTCTGGGGATCAGCCTGTGAGTACCCCTGGGGCACACATACACCCCACCTTGGAGAGAGCAGGCCTAGAGGGTGAAATGCCAGCTCCTGGGCTGGGTACTGGGTGTTCTGTCATCTAAAGCCCTCAGCAGATTTCTTCCTGCTGCCCTGCAGATCAAGTGCAGATCAAGTGTCAAGGTACCAAATAGTCCACAGTCATTCTCAATTCCACATCTATGCCCACGCTCCCTCCCCACCTCCTTTCCCCTCTCCCCCTTCCAAGTCCTCCATGTTTTATGAGCTCCAGCCCAAATGTCAGCTTCTTTTCAAAGCCTTCGTCTCCTACCCTGGACCCGGGCATTTGTACCGATCGTTCTACCTCCTGACCTCAGCCTGCCTGCATCACCATTAAACTATCTTGCTTGACATGTCTCATCTTGCTGAGCACTTTATGCAGGTACCATTATTATTACTTCTATTTCATAGCTGGGGAAACTGAGGCTCAGAAAATTCAAGTAATTTGCCCAAGGTCACACAGTAAGTGACGGAGCCAGGATTTGTACCCAGCCTGACTGCAGAGTCTGAACTCTGATTAAGCACTAAGCTGTATGAAGCAAAGACTGTCTCTTATATTCCTGTTTATTCTTCCCCGCACCTAGCATATAAATATATTATATATATATCTCAAGCAAAAGTGTTGAATGGATGAATTTTTGAGTGGATGATTGAATGAATTGCCCAGGCCAACACTAAGAAGAAAGCCCATGGTGGAAGGCAAAGGGCCTACTTCATTCCTAGTACAGAGTGTTTTGGCTCCTGTACCTAAAGAGTCCTAGTGAAGACTTTAAGCCTCAGGCACTGCTGAATCTGGGTGCTCAGATGTTATCACCAGGGTTTGGTGTCTCTAGTTCCTGGCTTGGCCATCCTCTCTGTTGACTGAGTCCTCAGAGGGTTCTGCTGGCAACTCCAGGGTCATGCCCTGCCAATTTAGCAACTCCAGTAGGAAGAGAGAGTGTCTGACAGCTCACTGCATCAGCTTAGGTGCATGAGCCTGTCCTAGTTCCCATTTCTGTTGCCAGGAGGCTGAGATGAGTAGCTTGATCAGTTCTGGATCGTTGAAGCAGGAGGGTAGGTAGCTCCATACAGACCATGTGAGCTGAGGTGGGGGGTGGGGATGGGGATACTGTAACTAGGAGATGGAAGAATGATTGTGCACAGGTGTGAATATCAAGTGTCCACTTCACTTTGTCTCTTGCAGGACCTGGTGGACTGGCGGAAGCCCATACTGTGGCAGGTAGGCCACTTGGGTGAGAAGTACGATGAGTGGGTCCACCAGCCGGTGACCAGGCCCATCCGCCTCTTCCATTCAGACTTCATCGAGTCCCTCACCAAGACTGTCTGGTGAGCCCTGTCCTGAGCCTATGGTGGGCTGTCCCTCATCCTGATGGTGCCAGCCAGATATGAAGAGGAAGGGCAATTGGGTCCCTCCCAAGAGGCCAGAGCTGTACTGTAAGCTCTTGGGGATAGTGGAACAGGCCATAGGCATAATCCATTCCTATGCATGGTTTTGTCTACCGAGTAAGTGACAACCTAACATGTAGCCAGAAACCACTTTGAGTGTCACTCCTGTTGTATTCCAGATGCCTAGGAGGGGTTTGTAGCCCCCAACGCCCATGGGAACAATTTTGCCTGCAATTAGTACCTCTGCCACAAGAGGTCAGCATCTATCCAGCTGCACAGAGTCAGTAGCCACAGGAACACCTTTCTTTTCTGCCAATAACTCATCTCAGAGACTGGGGCAAATGGACTCACAGTGACTCTCTTCTTTCTCCTCCTCCCCTCCCCACCCCCACAGCAGTGTCCCTTTATCCCCAGGTCTCCACATGGTTTCTGCACATGCTTTGGTGTCATGTCATCCTCCCTCTGAGAGGTGTGTCTCTAGGGAAGCCGGACCCTGTCAAGCCCTGTATCTCTCTCACCCTGATGGCCCTCCTGCAGGTACAGCGTCCCCATCGTCTGGATGCCCCTGATCCTGTACCTCAGTTGGTCCTACTACCGAACCCTCGCCCAGGGCAACGTCCGACTCTTCACGTCCTTCACCACAGGTAATGTCGGTTCCTTCCTGAATTGCTCCCGTGGCTCCTGGAGGCGGGAGAACTCAGCGCTCACCCTGGTCCTGAGTTTCTGAGAACACAGAACTGCAAACCACATCACAAACATTTTCAAAGGAGTCTTATCTGTAGAAATAGTCTTCCAAAGAGAAATGTCAGATCCTTCCCCCACAAAATGGTTTAAAAAGCCAGCAACACGTTAGCAGAAACTGAAGGAAATCATTTTATCAGGTGGCGTAGCAATAGAGAAGGGGATTTCTTACTGAGTCTAATACTAGGAAATGTAAGCTCTGGGATTGTTTGTCAAGAAACTAAATGAAATCCTTTCAGCAGGTGGCACAGCTGAGAGCTGGACCCAGAATGGCCCGTGAACATAGCACAGATTAGAACTTGAGAAAGAAAGATCCAGGAGTGTCCTACAGTGTCTCCTAGGCAAAGGTCCATGCGGCAGAAGCCCTGACTCAGAGTAGCCACCCCACTAACCTCTACTGAGCCCTTACCACATGCCTTGTCTGGGGACCATCTCACTGAAGCCCCCCAACAGCCCCACGAGAAAGGTGCTGTCATCAGGCCCTTTGAGAGACGAGGAAACGGAGCCTCAGAGAAGTCAAGTGAGCAACTCAGGGTCACGTGGCCAGGAGGCCAGGTGCCCCTCAGGGTCACGTGGCCAGGAGGCCAGGTGCCCCTCAGCTTCAGGGGGCAGGGGACAGAGAGAGGGGCTGACATGTGTGACTTCCAAAGAGCCTATAGGACTGAGTCTCTCAGGGCAGCCGTGGGCTTGGTGTGGCCTCTTCTGCCAGCCTGCCTCCCAAGCTCAGCGCCTACCTTGGGCCTCCAGGTTCGTACCATCTGCCCGGTGGTCTGTCCGTCCTGGCTGAGCCTGCCTCAAGGAGGTGCTGGCCCATGGCAGGTGGCTCAGATAGAGGCTGAGGGGACAGACAGCAGAGGGGTGCTGGGAGAGCTCAGGTGGGCTTCCATCTCCTGGTCACACACCATGTTCCTGACTGGAGCCTTCTGAACCCTCCTCCCTCTGCCAGACGCAGGCTCCTCCTCTCCACACTCTGAGGCTCTCTCCTGCCCACCTCTCCCGGGAGTGGCCAATCGAAGGCTGAATGGTTTAAATGAGAAGGGCCACAGTGACGGCAATGGGAGCCCTGGTTATCCCACCTGATCCAGGACGGGGCAGGGATAAGCAAACTGCAGGAAGTCCCCCAGAGCCCAGAGCTACTCCCAGTCACCAAGGGTTAATGTGTGTGTACCCCACGAGCCAAGGTTACCCTTTTCTGCCCACGCTGAATAGCTCAGGCACAGCACAGGGCTTGTTGCTCAGAAGGCCTGCTCACTGAATTGCCTACTGTCTGCCTGGTGCTCCCCTAACAATCACCAACAGAGGCAGGGCCGCCAGGGCTGGCGGCTGGAGGGGGCAGGGGATGCCGGAGCTTTGGCCCAGGTCCCTCTGCAGATTCCTCCAGAGATGCCACTCGGTACCAGCTCCGGCCTGATGGGCCGACAGGGGTGATGCTGGGGTGAGGGGGCGGGCGGAGACTTGACCTATAGGAGGAGACTCTTCTGCATGGCAGGGAGAGTGATTTGAGGCTTGGTCAGAACCACAGGCCTCTTCAGAGAGCTGACGTGCTGTCTAATAAAGGTTGAGTGTAGAGGGTTAGTGGGCCTGTGACATGATGCCAGCGATGGTGGCATGAGAAATATGCACAGGCCTCCCTCGCCCCCAGCTCATCAGGCAAGGCACTGGCCACAGGCAGAGAAAACAAGAGCCACAAAGCAAGATGAGGGGCCTCAGCAGGGTCCCAGTGCAGCTGCTGGACAAAAGGCTCACTGGAATAAATGCAGGAGAGTCAGGGTGCCAAGAAGCAGTGGAAGCTGAACAGAGAGATCAGTCCAAGGCTGGCATTCCTAGATGCATGTGTGAAAATGCCTTGAAAAGCAGAGAGTTTCTGCATGTTCAGGATGGCCCCAGAGAAGTTCCTGGGAGCTGGTTAGAGTGACTCCCAAGCTGCAACTATTGCCGAGCTGCATCCTGGGTGAGGATGCAGACCTCCAAGGGGATTGTGTAGTGGGAGCGCCAGCAAAGGTCAAGCCAAAGTCTGCGGCCAGGGAATGCTGCTGTGTGTCCAGTGCTTTCCCTGCCGACAAGAGAGCTAAGGAGCAATGGCGGGCTCCTGCACTCTGGGCAGTGGGGAGGCAGGGGGCTGAGAAGCTCCTTCTCCCCCAACCAGGCACCCTCCAGAGCTCGACAAGGAGAAACAAGAGAAGGTGGGCACAGGAGGACTGTGGATTGGAACTTAGATATATTTGACTCGTTATATTTAAAAATTTTAGTAGCTACTTGTTATATATGAGGAGTATTATATTACTATGATAGGTATTAATACATAATAGTATATTCTTAGAAGATGATATATATACTTATCTTATGATCAAGGATTATACTCCCTCCGCCCTAACAGTCCTTCACAATGGGTAGGATACTTTACTGTGGAGAGAACACGTAGCTGCTGCAGAGCCAGAATTTGAACCCAGGTCTGCAAATCCAAAGCCTGTGCTGTCTGCACTTCACCAGATTGTTCTGAAGGACCCCAGAGGTGTCAAGGCTTCCCTGGAAGCAGAGCCTCTGGCCAACCAGAGCAGCCCAGCCAAGGCCAAACGGCCACTCGCAGACAATGCTGTTAGGCAAGCATCTTGTACCGGGTGTGGACACAGCAGGTCCCACTGATGGGAGATGTCAGACCAGTTTAACACCTGATTTGAGAGAGATGGACATTTTAGGGATTGAATCTTAGCCGCATCACATGTTAGTTTCCAGGTGAGGCATGAAAAATCTTTCCGTTGCACACAGACTCATTTGGAACGATTTGTCAGAATGGCACTGGGCCTGGAATCTGGTCCAAAGAGCTGGAGGTCACCTCCCTGCCTTCCTGGGCTTTCTTCCTTCCTCAGCAGCCACCTGTGGTCATGCACGCTGGGCACACCCCTTCAGAAGTGCTTCCTTAAACAGAACCAGAAGCTCCCTCCTTCTGGACCTGGTTCTGCGCGGAACAGCACGTATCAAACCTCATCCGTGTACAGCCCTTCAGAGAAGCTGGTGTCCACCCATTCATCTCCCAACATGTGCCTGAGCACCTGCTGGGCTAAGCACTGGAGATATAAAATGAATTATGCCCATAAAATGCTCATAACTTAGTGGAGAGAAATGAGTAAAACGGCAGCCACAGTTCAGTGTGACAAAGGTGATGTGGAGGGCAGGGTGGGAGCCTTGAACCCAGCCTGGGTGGGGCTGAAGGGCGTCTGCAGAGGCTTCTCATAGGAGGTGACGCATGGGCTGAATCTCCAAGGATGAGGAAGGCAGGGAGGGAATTCCAGTGAAGGAAGCATGAGCAAGATTAGGAGGATGCAGGGGAGGGGTGGGGAAGGGTGAGGAACGTGGTGCTCTAAGAAGCCACAGTGGTTTGTTTTGACCCCGTACAGGGTGATGGGGAGACAAGGCAGGGATGTGGCTGGCAGGGCCGGGTCTCAAGGGACCATAAGTGTCATGCTAGGGGTCTGGACTTTGTCTAAGGGTAAAGAGGCATCATAGAAAGGTTTTAAGAGAGTGTAGAGGCAAGGAGTTGGGGTGGGAGGCTGAAGCAGTCATTGGGCAAAAGATGATACGGCAGTGGGGGATTAAGAGCAGTGAACTGACCCAAGACATAGATAGATAGACAGACAGACAGACAGATTTTTTTTAATTGAGGTGAGATATATAACATAAAATTAACCATTTTAAAGTGAACAATGGCATTGAGTACATTCAGTGGCATTTAGTACTTTCACAATGCTGTGCAACCACCACCTCTGTCTAGTTGCAAAACATTTTCATCACTCCAAAAGGAAACACCATACCCATTGAGCAGTCACTCTTCATTTCCTCCTCCCGTGGTCCCCGACAACCACCAGTCTACTTTCTATCTCTATACATTTGCCTATTCTGGACATTCCATACAAATGGAATCATACAATATGTGGTCTTTTGTGTCTGGCTTCTTTTGCTTTGCCAAGAGATAGTAAAGAGAGGAGCTGATAGAGCTTGGTGACTGGATGCAGGAGAGAGGGATAACTTAAGCCTTGGTAATGTATGGATGTCGACACCCCTTACTGGGGAAGGAACCCAAGAGGAGCAGCCTGGGGTAATTGGGTGGGCAGGAAGAAAGAGGAAGATGACTGGCCTCGTTTGGAAGCTGTTGACTTTGAGGGGCCCATGGGCAGCTGTGTGGAGATGCTCAGTAGCAAGTGGCTGTCCAGGGTTGGGTTGGAGGTATAGATCTGGGGGTCATCAGCAGGTGAGTGTGGCTGACATCCTGGACAGAGCAGAGAGCATGTGAGAGTGGAGGGTCAAGGCTTTGACCCTGGGAACAGAGGCAGAGTTTCTACAGTGGAGCCTGACAAAGGGCATGTAGAGAAGAGGAGAAAAGTCAAGTGTCCCAGCAGGCAGGAAGTGGAGGTGTGTATTCTAACCTTGTTGGTCTCAGGTCCTTTGAGAATCTGAAAAATTGTGGACTCACTCCTCAGGAAAATGCACACAGATGCATCGTTTGGGATATCATTTCAGCATGTTCACAGACACCCTGAAATCCAACTGAGGACCCTCTGGGTGTTCATAAACCTCAGGTTAGGAACCTATCCAGTTGCAGATTCAAGAAGAGAGTAGTTACCAAGGTCATATACCACAGCCAAGTTAGAGATGAATTGAAAAAATTGCTTAGATTTGGCAAGAAACGCATCATGAATGGCTTTCATAGTTCTTTGCAGAAGATAGACTTTAGGGGCTTGAGAAGCAAACGGAAAGTGGTAGAGACTTGAGTCTAGCCTACCTTTTCAGGAGGCTTGGCTATGAAGGGACGGAGTCTATGATAGGAATGTCTTAAAGATGAGCAGAAGAGCCGGTGGAGAAGGAGAAGTTGAAGATGCCCAGAGGGGTTGGTTGGGATGGAGGGGCTCTGCGGGAGGCAGGCTGAGGGCTGTGCACCACCTAGTGGGCTGAGCTGGACAAGTAATAGAAGCTGTCTGTACCTCTGCATCCTCACTCATATGGGCAATGCTAGTGCTTCCCTCGTAAGGTTGGAGTGAGATGAAGTATGAAAGAATCCATGTAAAGCAGTTGAATGGTGCCTGGCATGTAGGTACTGATCAATACACATCTGCAATGATTATTGTTAACATTACCACCACCATCCAGTGCCCAGGTACCTGGGTGCACGCCTCTTCCCTGAAGAGCAAGAAGGAAGTTCCAGGGTGGGGGCAGGATTGGATATGGTTGAAGGTGGAAGGGAGGCTGTGAAGGAAGCCATTCTCCCTCTCCCTCTCTTCCTCCCAAGGCCTCTTTTCTCTGTGAAATAGGAGGCTAGCTAGAAGAAGGGGGGGATGTTTGAGGGCAGTGAGGAGGCAGCTGGACCTGGGGACATAAAAGGATCACCAGGTAGTGTTTGAGGTCTAGCTGAGGTTGAAGGTACCAGACTCATGGCTACACAACTCTCCATGGCTACACAAATGCTCAGCAGCTTGTACATCTTGTCCTGATCCAGGGTTAGGAGTTCATGGGGCAGGCAAGGGAGATGGAATAAAGTTCAAAAGAGAATGGCTGGCTTTGGAAAACAGTTTGGTGGTTCCTCAAAAGGTTAAACATAGTTAAAATATGACCCAACAATCCCACACCTAGGCATATACCAAAGGCAACTGAAAACATAGGTCCACACAAAAACTGGCACATGAATGTTCATAGCAGCATTATTCACAATAGCCACAAATAGAAACAACCCCGATGTCCATCAGCTGATGAATGGATAAATATAATGGGGTATGTCGATATGGTGGAATATTGTCCAGCCCTAAAAAGGAATGAAGTTTGGATACGTGCTACAACATGGATAAACCTTGAAAATAATGTAATTAAAAGAAGCCAGTCATAAAAGACCACATATCGTATCATTCCATTGATCTGAAATATCCAGAATAAACAAATGCAATAGAGGGAAAGTAGATTAGTGGTTCCCTGGGTCTGAGAAATGTTGGGGGTCAGAGAAAATGGGGAGTGACTGTTCATGGGTACAGGGAAGTAAAATACTCTAAAATTGTGGTGACGTGGTGACGTGCTCAACTCTGAGTGTACTAAAAAGCATTGAATTGTACACTTGAAATGAGTGAATTGTATGATATGTGAGTTATATTTCAATAAAGCTGTTATTTTTAAAAAGAACGAGAAAGCGTGGCCAAAGCAATGGCTTATGGAAAAGAGAAGTCAAGCTAAGAGGGTGAGGACAGACATGGAGTAAACAGTGACAAGGGCTGAAGTCCCGTGAAGTCAAAGATGAATGAAGTGGAGAAAAGAAACAAGAACGTCAAGGACTGCAGGCTGTCACCCGAGAGTTGGGTGTTGGGAACCTCACACGTGGTCTCATTAATCTCTCCGGTCTTCTGGTCTCCAGACTAATCATCTTCCATTTTTCCACATCATCCTCATAGTCTATGATCTCAAGTCTTGCCCATTGAGATTTCTCTACTTGGGGGTTCCTGTCTCCCCTGCCCCCATCCATAATCTCCCAGCTTTACTGGTATCGTTGGGATCACCTCTCCCACTCCCCCACGCCACTGAGGCAAGGTCACCCTTCACCCGTGTCCTAGTCCGTTCAGGCTGCTATAAAAAAACACTACAGACTGGGTGCTTATAAACAGCAGGAATTTATTTCTCACGGTTCTGGAGACCAGAAGTCCAAGATCAGGGCACTAGCATGGTTGGGTGAGGGCTCTCTTCCCGGTCAGACTCCCTGTTGTGTCCTCATGTAGCAGAAAGGGGAAAGGAGCTCTCTCGGGCCCCTTTTATAAAAAGGGCGCTGATCTAGTCACCTCATGACCTAATCACTCCCATCGCCTTGGGGGTTAGGTTTCAATGTATGAATTTGGGGAGACACATTTAGACCATAGCACCAAGCAGAGGTCCAACACCGGCCACAGTACTCCTCTTACAGTCCCTCTCAGGAAGAGCTCAGACCTCTGGCCAGTGGCCCCTTTGTCTGAGACCCTCTGTCCAGCAGCTCCCACGGTGACCGGCGCGGTGAGATGTCTGGAGCCAGCAGGCATTGTTGCACCCCAGGCCATCCCCCCTGACCCTGCCTCTCCCCTGCCCTCCTGCAGAGTACTCAGTAGCCATGCCCGAGTCCGTGTTCCCGGGCCTCTTCGTGCTGGGCCTGTTCCTCTGGAGCCTAGTGGAGTACGTCCTCCACCGCTTCCTGTTCCACATGAAGCCCCCCAGCAACAGTTATTACCTCATCACGCTGCACTTCGTCTTGCACGGCCAGCACCACAAGGTGAGCAGGGTGGGCTCCCACCCAGGGCCTTGCTGCCCATCTTTGTGGGAGTCAGGTTGGGACTGAGGGGAAATCAAGGGTATTTGATATTGCTCAGAGCGGGGACTGGGTCCTAGTCTGAACCGGGCATGGACAGAGTGAGCTTGTGTGTCTGTATGCCATCATGTTAATACCAGGCACTCTGCAGGTACATTCCACGTGCCATCTTTAATCCTCACAACTCCTCCATTCATTCAACAAATGTTCACTGAGTGCGCCCTATGTGCCAGGTCCGGTTCCAGACACCACTGAACAAAACAGTCAGGAACCCGGTCCTTACGGAGCTTCCTCTGCAGATGGTGCTGCAGCTCTCCCCATTCTGTGGAGCCGCAAACAGGCTCGGAAAAATTAAGGAACTCGCCCAAGGTCACAGCTGGCACAGCCAGGATGTTGTGCCCTGTTCTGTGGTCTCCGGAGTCTGTGCTCTCAACTACCCACCCCCCCGGGCTCTTTAAGGACAGCACGACAGTTCCAGCAGCTGGGACTGGAAGCCAGGTCTGCCCAGAGGAAGCTGTATCCCCTGGCTGCTTCGCTGTCCCTGCACAGGCTGTTCTTAGCCTGACCCAGGGCATCCCTCCCCGCTCCCTTCCTGTCTTCTTTTTCCAAGAGCCAGTTTCCCGGCACACCATGGGTCCAGGTGCTCCGGGTCTGAGAGGAGGGAAGCCCACACCAGCGTATCGCTCTGTGACTATCACCTGCTTTCTCTCTCTCTTCTCTTCCAGACTTTAAAGGGTCTCTCTCTTCTCAGAATACTCACCAAGCAGTCTCTAAAATCTTACCTCTATGGCAGGCCCTTGGCTTTTGAAGCTCCAGGGCCAAAGGCTTGGCTCTTTTGTTTTCTAGTTCGCTGTGACAACACCCCCTTGGAAGGAAGAATGACTCCCATTAGCACGTGGGTCTGGGGAGAATGTATCTGTTAACACTTCCAGTATCGTCCCACCATTTGCGTCTGCATTAACCTCAGCTTACTGATGTGTTGCCCTCCCGGACAACATCAGGCCTCAGTCTAGGTACCCCACGTGGTATTTGGCAGGGGGGCTCCCCTCTATCATCTAACAAGTTCCAGAGCCAAAGTGGCCTCTTGTACATAAAGCAGAACTCGGAACCGTGAGCATCCTGCCCACAACACATCCATCCCCATGTTCTTGGACAGTTTTCCCAGATTCCATCCTGGCTTGGAAACTGAGAGCAGGATAGTCTTTCTAGGGCTTTCAAGTATGGTGGCTTGCCCTCCCCAAAGCCACTGAAAGTGCCAAGCCTACCCAGGACAGGTTGCTGCCCCCTCACTGCAATGTCTGGGTTGCTCCGCCCCGTCCTCTGTGGGGAGCGTTTCTGGCTTGGCATGCTGTGACTACAGGTGGGACCAGGGGCCCTGGGCTGTGTTCTGACACGTGAGCCTCTCCATCTGCAGGCACCGTTCGATGAGTCCCGCCTGGTCTTCCCCCCTGTACCAGCTTCTCTGATGATTGCCTTCTTCTACATGGTGTTGCGGCTCCTCCTGCCTGAGGCGGTGGGGGGCACTGTGTTTGCTGGGGGCCTCCTGGGCTATGTCCTCTACGACATGACCCATTACTACTTGCACTTCGGCTCGCCGCACAAGGGCTCCTACCTGTACAAGATGAAGGCCCACCATGTGAAGCATCACTTTGCACATCAGAAGTCAGGTGAGGACCGGCTCCTCCCAGCCTCCCTCGTTTGTTCGTTTATTTATTTGAAGCTACTATTGAGCCCCTAGTGAGGGCCAGGCAGAGTTCTGGGTACTGGGGATACATAGACAGCAAGGCAAGCCTGAGCCTCCCATGCTACTCACTGGTGTCGGGGGCTGTGCAGAGACGACAAACAAGGAAATCCATAAATAGCAAATACCATTTCAGTCAGTGATATGTGCTACAAAGAAAATAAAGCAAGATGATGTTAGAGGAACCATTTCAGTGGGGAGAGGGGCCCAGCACTGTCTAATAAAATAATACGAATCACAGATGTAATTTTAAATTGTCTAGTAGCCCCACTTACAGGTAAAAATAAATAGATGAAATTAATTTTAATAATATAGTTTATTAAGCCAAATATAACCAAAATATTATCATTTCAACATGTAATCAATATAAAAACTCTTTAATGAGGTATTTTACATTCTTTTCCTTGTACTAAGTCTTCAACATCTGGTGTATATTTTCCACTTACAGCACATCTCAATTCAAGTCAGATTTTCATTGGGAAATACTTGATCTGTATTTAGAACTTATAAAATTTACAGCCAAAAAAAGGAGATTCACATATGTGAGTTGCTCCAAGTGTGCTTAAAGTTTTTCCAGGAACTGAATCAAGTATGTTTTTTAACTGAAATTTAAGTTAATTAAATGAAATTAGGAATTTAGCCCCTCCATAGCTCTAGCCACATTCCCAGTGCTCAGTAATCACTTGGGCTAGTGGCTGCCATGTTGGAGGGCAGAGTGCTAGATAAAGTGGTCCAGGAAAGTGTGCTGCAGAGATGTCATTAGAGCTGAGACCTAAATTGAAAGAAGCCAGCAGCCAATGTCTGGGGAAAGAGCATCCCAGGAGCAACAGGTGCAAAGCCTTGAAGTGGGAATGAACTTGACAGCTTCACAGTGGAGGAAGAGTCTGAAGTGTAAGAGAGAGGGAGGAAGAGGCAGGCAGGGGCCAGGATCTCCCAGGAACTAGGCCAGATCAGGAATTTGGGTTTATTCCAATGGCATTCTTGGAAGACTAGAAGCACAGGTACCCTGCTCTTGACTTCTACCAAAATGGCCCTGAGGGTTGGGAAGGCCAGCAGGGACAGATGTTGAAAGCTTCCCCACATGCTCCGGTCCCCCACCCAGACTCCCTTCCTGAGCAAATTTCCCCCACTCCTTCAACAGTGCCTCATCTTCTCCCCATTTGTCTCCCTCTCTAGGATTTGGCATCAGCTCTAAATTTTGGGATTACTTTTTCCACACCCTTATGCCGGAAGAACCCCACTCGAAGATGCAGTGACAACTCCCAGCCCCGCTGTGGCCCCTGCCCCACCCCCACCCCCATCTAGACCCTGCAAAGAAGGTTTGCTTGGCCAGGCAAGATGGGCTTTGTCCGGCCCTCGGGCTTGGTGGAGGGTGCTAGGGAGACCCTGAAGGCTGAGACTGACCCTGAGACTGCCCTCCTGACCCACCACAGGAGGGTCACATCCACTTGGTGGCCAAATGGCCCTCAGGGACTAGCTCTTTCCTGGAGCATCCCGGCCTCTCCACCAGCATCCCTGCGCAGAGCCTTAGCCCACAGGACTGCTTTAGGACCTGGCCAATGGGGAATTTCTCAAGGGGAATGAAGGAAACTGACCCCTGGAGCCAGGCCTGTGTCCCACCAGTGTCTTAGCACCTTGGGATGCCTAGGAGCCACCCCCTACAGTGGAGCTGCTGATGTCCACAGCGAAGAGTGGGGTCTGCAAGGCCTGTGGCCCTCATCTTCCCCACCTTCCTGGGGAGGATTGGGTAGCTCCGGCTATTCTCCTAATGAATGGAGAACAGTGAGGTGGATGAAGGGCTCTCACAAGAAGGGACAGCATGATGCCTCCCACAGGCCACCCCTAAATCCCACAGCAGAGCCTTTGACCATTGCCAATCACAAATGCCAGATGTACCACCAAGTGCCTCAGGCTACAACACATCCAGCACCCACACGCCCAGCCCTCACCTGCCTGTGCAGTTGAGTGCAGGGTAGCTGGCATCACCTCAAGGCTGGCAGGAGCCCAGGCCTCTTTCTTTAGGAAACACCAGCTGCTCTAGCCATCTCTCCCCTGCCTCCAGAACCACAAAGCTTTTCCCCAAGGCTTTGGAGGCCTCTTCATGAGTGGGAGCCC